CGAAGAAAACCAGGCATTTTCCTATATCACATTCTGTGTTGGGATTGTCGATGAAATAAGGTTGTGTTTGTTATAGCAATCTATTAGGTTACTTCTTATTTTTTGTTCATCAATAGGCTTTCGAGACTACCGATAGATGATATGTATAATATGTATTCCTTCCATTGAATTTTGCATAGCCTTGCTTTCCCAAATGTCATTCTCTTTGCGGTTAACGTGTCGAGATTATAAGAGGCAGTTTCATGGTTCGAATCCCACTGGAGGTGTTGATAAGACTTGGGCGAGCTCAGAGCTCCAGTCCAGCCTGGATGGGAATAACTTTTGAGAAAGAAAAGCTATGTGGAATTCAATGGCGACGTTGTGCCTACCAATATCATAGTGGGAAGATTCAGCTACAGATTCCCGTATCACCCCAAAAGAAATAGGATGAATGGCTCTCATGTGTAAGATCTACTGGTTGCATGTCGCAGGCTCGGGGCGGTATAACGTCTTGTGAGTATTCGGATGTTAGCAGACTAGACACGAGGTATTCGTTAAACTTGGCACGGAGTTTCCCATGTCTACACAGTCCTGTGGCAATTCGAGAAGGGTTCGAGGAGCATTTGAGTGGTAGCCGTATGAATTAGGTCTAGCCCGTTTGAAGTCATGGGCAGGCATTAGTTGAAAGTTAACATCTGCCCAAGTGTCAGCTTCGTTAACGAGGAGACGGGTTGTCCCCTCTTGTTGCTTTGCCAGAAGCCGCATACCACATAAGTGACTATGATGGATGTACTGTCTACTAAATGACTCATTCAGAGTTTTCTAATTCGAACATTTTCGCATTTTATTCGTACTTTTAATCATATTTCCGTGCATCACTTGATGGCCGTCCTAGCTTCCTCCCAAGGCGGTACCACTCTGAGGGACATCAGAAAGGAGGATGACACACAAGTTATCCAATGCCCAATTTTCTTTCGCTTTTCACTTAATAGCCTGCGTTTGTTGCCGCCTCGCTCTTTATGGCACAGTTGGCTTGTCAACGGTGGTCGCCTCGAAAGCGCAATAGCAGCTGTGCGTCTCGGTGATGGGCCAGGTGATATTTCCCCAAATTGGGACAGGAAGCAGGAAAAGTGGTGCTCGGTCGACAGCAGTCCTCGCGCACAAGTTGTCAGGCCGGGGGACAGCTAAAGAGCCAGGCGGATTGATGTAAGCATACGCCCTGGGGAAGACTATGAATCGTCTCCATACGAGATATGCAGCTAGGACACATTAACACTAACCAGGGAGATAGTTTGGGCAAGCTGAATTGGATACCAATCATAGAGACATTGAATTTTGCGAAAAGCCGAAATCTCAATACAGTTGGCATGCAATTCGTAAAAATGATTCCAAATTCGATGGTAAACAATTCCAAACTATAATCATTTAGCATTTGTGGTAATTTGACTAATAAGACAGCGAACGATTTCATCACTGTATCCTGATTCAAATGGAGCCAACTCTTACATTGTTTGTTAGACGATGCCATAATACGCATACTAGGAGTCAACTAAAGCTAAAATTCATTACATCGAGGTATTAAATGTTCCTACATTGTGGCTAAATATTATGCTGGCGCATTCATGATGGCTAGCTACTAGCTCTACTTCGAAAATCTTTATCGTACACTATGACAAAGAATCGAATCTCTAGGCTAAGTATTATCGCTAGGTTATATTTGTCGAAAAAAGTTGAGAGAACTGTGAGCATTCGTCTTTTATTGTTAGTTCATTTGAGAAAAACACTATAAAGTTAGATTAATTGAGTGAAATTAAAACGAGCTGGACACCTCGTGCACAAAGTTCTTGGAACGGAGAATTCCGTAATTTGTAAACAGTGGCATTTAATATGAGATATATTCACTCTATTTCGCTTAAAGTGATGAAGGACTAGTAGTATAATTTCCCCACAATGATATGAGTAGACGTGACGTTTCCAATGAATATCCCAGAGCCTTGCTTTCCCAAAAGTTGTTCTCATCCAGGCACCAGTGGACTGCAGTTTCGACCTCGCATCGGTCTTATCAACATCCCCAGCGGGAGTCGAACCGTGACAATGCAGAATGGGAACTTGACACGTTAACCACTCGGCCACACTGCCACGAGTGCCCTTGGGTTACAGGGCAAATGTGAATTTCAAGGAAGGCCAGGCATTTTCCCATATCACACTCTTTGGTGGAATTGTTGATGAAGCAAATGTATTTTTGCCATA